TTAGCTTCGTAATTTTCATATTTTTGGCCTGACTCCTCAACGTTCTTGACAAGTCGGCGATTTTGTATATATATATATATGCTACGATACATTTAAAATATAGTAATAAGAGTATTAGCTTGGAGTGACTGTCTCAATATTAATTTGATATAACGTCACTACGCTACTTTACGTGATAATGTATAATACGGTCTCTCACATAAAACAATGCAATGTGTATGTATGCAAAATTATTTGAATTTATAAGTTGTATTTCAAAATATACTTGCTTTAAGCAAACAGACTTTGAAAATAAACACTAAGCATTGTTATTGATTATTGTTTTATTTGTGTTTAAGTGTATATTCTCTTTACCAGATTCATATATTAGGCATTGTAACGCTAAGTTCGGGATTCGATCCATGCGAAAGACACAGGAAAGATAGACCATTGAATAGATTTAGGCTGAAACAAACCACTTTCTAGCCTCACAATTTAGTGAGTAAGTTTAGCTACCTAGTGGCACAGCGGTATGTCTGCGGACTTACAACGCTAGAAATTGGGTTTCGATACCCGTGGTGGCAGAGCATAGACAGCCCATTGTGTAGCTTTGTGCTTAACTACAAACAAACAGTAAGTTTAAGGATTTGTATACTAAAATTCAAAGTTCGGATCCTTTGATTGGCTCGGTACAGATAGCTGTGATATGTATGATTGGTCAATAAAGATATATATATATATATAAACCGTATAACCTGAGCGCTTTTTGCCCCTGAAGAAGAAAGGTCCACCTTTCGAAAGCGCTCGGGTTATAGCGTTTTTATTCATTTCTATCAAGACTTCTTGAACCTACGTGTTTTTCTAACATCATGGATAAATATATATGTATATTTAAACCACGCGTTTTATTGGCTGATACGTTGTGATTGGTACACGCCCCTGTTATTAGCGTAATAATGTATTTTTGTCATTTAACGGAATCGGAGAGAAAAAGTAAAAAAAAAAAAAAAAAAAAACATCTTAGGTAAGTTAACAATTATGAAATTTCTAATTTAGTTGTCTGTTTAATATATATTTGTGTCTTTAAAACTTTAAAAACAATGAATGTTATGGAATGTAACCGAAAAGTTTTCTGTTCCATAGTCAAATAAAATCTATAATTGTCTTCGCTGTGAGTGTTGTTATAAGAAACAAGGTTCTTTTTTCTTTTAGTAAAGTTAGTTATTTGAGCAAAATCCTTTGTTCTATGCGCATATAACTAAGTATTGGCACTTGTTTGTTGAGAAATTTACCCGTGGTTGTAATGTCGTTGAAGATTTAAAGTTTCTCAAGATTGGTTGAATTGATAGTTTATGAACATAGTTTAACTGTTTATGATCAGTGAAATGGTTTGTTCTATGTAAACATAAAGGCTAGAAGCAGTATAGCATTTTGTAAGATATGAAGAAGGGCTCAGTAAAGAAACCGGAGCTATGTAATTCCATGAGTAATGCTCTTGAATGTCATTAAGATAATCTCCTGGGTAAAGAAGTGCATTAAACGTCTCTATGAATAATTTTAATCAATTATAAGACATACCAAAAAGCATTAGTGTTCAACTGTTACCACTAAAAATAAAAAAAGAATAGTTAGAAGTAACTGCACGATCAAGTTGGGCAGTTGGGAAAATGGGCGACGTTTCGGATCACCTACGTGCTCCTCCACTAGTATTAAATATTCTACTGATTTCTTCTTACCAAATAACTCTTTCAAAGAAAACTACAAATCGTAGTGAAACAAACAGCAACTGTATGGTTCGATCTGAAATTTGGGGTATTTTTTTTCAATCCGCACTTACAAACAAATGTTGTGATATTTTATTTAACTTTAGCATCAGACTAGACATATTAAAGTAAAACAAAAAACAAACAGTTTTTCGCTTGTTACAAATACGATACATTTACTAATGAAGTATGACCATTAGTGGAGGAAAGACTGTAATGTCATTTACTCAGTTGTATCTTTCAGACTGCTAGTATAATCACAGTTAAACACAGATAGCCAATTAGATTATATAATTTTTGCATTGAGAAGTATTGTTTCCAATCGATGAGAATATCGTCATTTGTTCTCAAAAAATATCTTGAAATCAGCTGTAGAACATTTAATTTCTACTTAGATTTTTTGCTTATATTTTTCTGAACACTAAAGAGTGCGTGTTATAGAGTAGTTTTACAAGGATGAAAAAACAAAAACCTAACCAGTATTTTAGGTATTAAACTGACTAGATATTCAAATAGTTCTTAAACTTATAACGAATATCTGTCCTAAACATTAGAGAAAGTTACTTCGACATGAAGTAGAAATGAAAGTTAAACCTCGGAAAATACCAAACTAAACCTGCCTTTAAGGAGATTATTAGAATACTTTCAATTTAGTTTATTAAAATACATTATATTACCAAAAGTATTTTTGAGAGAGCTTATATCGAGAAGAGGTTATCATCAATATCATGTTTCACCTTAAAAGCAATGGTCTGATTGAGGGATGTGAGTGAGATGCTCCGCTCTAGTCTCAGTCATAATCTAGACTCTTTTAACAAATAGTTATAAGAAACGTTGGTAGACATTTGATGGGATAGCAGCTCTCCAAGTGTAGTGAAATTTGGGTCTCGCGGTTTTCTCTTACTCCAAACGACGTTCCTAAGCGTTCACTTTTGTCTCCATTTGGATTACTGATTAGTCAAAAAACAGTTTCTGGGCGCTATTTTCCATAATCATTGCTATAACGTCAATGCCGTAATTGTACAATTTACAAGAACGTCAATGTATATTAAAAGATATTCGTTGCTCTCTTTTAACTTTTATCAGTGAAACAGGTCTAAGTCAACTACAAATGCTCCATCATTCGTCAGTGTTAGGATTACAAAGTTACATTCTCCATATTAAAATAGTTCATCTGAAACAAACACTAAAGTACAGGATTCATCACGCCTGGTCACACGATGTTCTTCTGTTGTTTATTGCCTCAATTACTACTTTTAAGGCACCATGAGAGATCATACCTAGCACCCATATCTGTACACAAAGAGTGTATGTGTTGGCTTTCAGTCTTGAACTATCGTAAGTGTGTCAGTACACACTTCAAAGTTCATATGGGCTGAGGAGTGATTACTTTAGGGAGACCAGACCGATATTGTACATTAGCATGTCCATAGTTTCAACACATTACTCACATTGGATATGAATACAAATAAGTTGACCGTAATGTTTAAAATTCTTACCAAGTTCAAAGTTCAGCTCAGACGTTCATATGACCACTGCTAGGGTTGAATAGCCATTGCTCTTTGAAGCTCCATGAGATTTTTTCTTCATTGCATCATGAATCTGGTTAATTGCCCATTGCCTGCAGCTGTTGACGGTCATAACCCTATATAGTAGCAATTTTACCATACAAAACGAAATGTGAATAGCATGGACTAAAAAAAAAAAGTAAATGAACAAGTATTCGTACAAACCAACACAAAACACAACATCATTAAGGAAATAAGCTGAGTTCATAAGCTATGTGATGAGGAAAGAAAAAACAAACCAAGTAGTAACAACCAGCAAATTGAAGGGAAGAGAAGCAAAGGAAGACAGAGAACAAAGATTCTTGATGAGCACACAGAAAATGGTTAGGAACCATGAATACCAACACAGAAGTGTTGAAGAACACCAGGAACAGAGACAAGTGGAAAATCTTCACTGTCAATGCCTGCATACAAGAATAACACCGAAGAAGAAAGCTATAGATTGTACATATAAATTAAGTGGGGACGGGCTAATTGATAATTAGGGATATACTCTTCTGGAACGTTTGGTAATATGATATATATTACCAATATAATATAATGTAGTGTACATCTCTAGTTTATCTAGTTTCTGGTATTGTTCGAGTACGCTGTGTTAAACTACTTGACATCCATCATAAAGCATACCTACGGACTAGGTAAATAGTATATATATATAAATGTTCAAACTACGTGCAATAGTATTTGGCGTTATACTGAGTTTATATCTAATGATCAATAGGTTAAATAATTTGTTATTGCAAAATGTTCTTTAGAACTACTTTTATATAAGTGGGTCTTTCTTCTCAGAACTGGTTTATTAGTTTTGGCAGCATAACTTGTGAATTTTTCGTTTGTAATTAAGCACAAAGCTACACAATGGGCTATCTGTGCTCTGCCCACCGCGGGTATCGAAACCCG